TTAGGGTTTAAACCAACAAAAGTAAGCAAGGATAAGGATGGCCACTTTACATTTGTTAAGTGTAATACTAAATATAATGAAATCTCAATTATCAATATCTATGCACCCAACCAGAATGCACCTCAATTTATAAGAGATACTCTAACAGGCATGAGCAACTTGACCTCTCCCAGCTCCTTCATAGTCGGAGATTTTAACACTCCGTTAGCAATGTTGGATAGATCATCCAATAAGAAACTTAGCAAAGACATTTTAGATTTAAATTTAACTATTAAACCTTTGGATTTAACAGACATCTACAAAACATTTCATCCTAACAAAAACTGAATACTCATTTTTCTCATCAGTCCAGAGAACATACTCCAAAATCAATCATATCTTAGGTCACAAGTCTAACCTCAGCAAATTTTAAAGAGTAGAAATTATTCCATGCATTTCTCAGAAAATCATGGAATAAAAGTTGAACTCAGTAACAACAGGAATCTTTAGACTCATACAAAAACATGGAAGCTAAATAGCCTTATGCTGAATGATAGATGGGTCAGAGACGAGATCAAGAAGGAAATTACCAAATTTTTAGAACAAAACAACAATGAAGACAAGAGTTATCAGAACCTCTGGGATACCACAAAGGCAGTCCTAAGAGGGAAATTTATAGCATTGCAAGCCTTCCTCAAGAGAACGGAAAGAGAGGAAGTTAACAACGTAATAGGACTCAAGCAACTGGAAAAGGAAGAACATCCCAATCCCAAATCCTGCAGAAGAAAAGAAATAACCAAAATTAGAGAAGAATTAAATTAATTCAAAAACAAAAGGATTACACATCAGATCAATAAATCAAAAAGTTGGTTTTTTGAAAAGGTCCATAAAATAGATAAACCTTTGGCCAACCTAACCAAGAAAAAAGGGTAAAATCTCTAATCTCATCAATCAGAAATGGTAAAGATGAAATAACAACAGACCCTTTAGAAATTCAAAAAATCTTTAATGAATATTACAAGAAACTTTATTCCCAGAAATATGACAATCTGAAGGAAATCAACCAATACTTGGAAGCACGCCACCTCCCAAGACTT